ATACAGACTTGCATGTTAAAAATAAATGCCAAATTTGCGTCTCTCTGAAGGAAACATTATAATTTGACCAATGATAGGATGCAAATTTGTAAGCCATATGACAGGTAAACTGGTTAGGATGTACACACATGAAAAGCATCAGTCGAGGGAGGGAGAAGACACAGGCCCCCGCCGGCCGGGTGAGAGGGGAGGAGAGCGGGGAGGGGCGCGTGTTCTGGCAGGGACAGTAAAGGGGGGGGGGGGGGTGAGCAACCAAGTAGCGGTCTAAAAAGGATCAGGACGGTCATCGGAGTCCAATATGAGACCCCATGATATTTATACCGCGGCGTACAAATATCATGGGGCCTCCAATGACGATCCGGATCCTTTTTATTTATGGGCCTCATAATATTTGGATACCCCCCCCCCTCCCGCTATTGTCCACAGACAGATGTGTGTGTGGGCGAGGGGGGGGGGGGTAAACAAACCCTTTGGCGCGGTATCATCTTCCCCGCCTGCGGAGCTGCGGTCGCGCACCGCGGTGGACGCGAGCTGAGAAAAGGAAACGGTTCCATGGGAACAGTACCCCCCCCCCCCCTCTATCCTTTTCGCACATCTCTCACAGCCGCTTGCCGCTCCTCTTCTACGCACCGCACCTGCCCCCCCTCCCCCCTCCCTGCTTCCCCCGTCAGATCCCCGTAGCGGTCCCCGGCCTCGCCCCGCCATAAGCCGAGGCAGACATTTGAATGCCCCGCCAACTCATTATGGCATCGCCCACCACCAAAATGTGCGGTCAGGGACGGGCAGAAAGGGGGGAGGGGGGCGCCTAGCAGGTAGGCAGGACGGTGGGGAGAAAAGGGAGTGTTGCAAGAGGTCGTTTTGAACCTTGTGCAGTCACAAATTTGTATCTACGGTTGGACGAGGTAAATATTTGTTCTACGTTACATCTTGCAAAGCATCTTGCCTTGGGCAAAATATGACCATTGCTATTTAGAAAGCAGGGGGCTGTCCAGGACACTTCCCCGGGCTGCCCAGGGCACCGTCTAGGACTCTCCCCGGAGGAGTGCCCAGGGGCCTCCCCGACGGCCTCCCCGGGGGACTGCCCCAGGGAGAGCCCCTGCGCTGCACTCGCTACACGCGCCAAGGGCCGAGGGGGCTCTGACAGGGAAACTAAGCTAGGTGTAAATCCCCGATTTTGCTCAGACTCGGTATATATTTGTCTCTTCACTGTAAAAAAATATGTTCGTACATGTACGATTTACTTTGTAATTTGCCATTTACAAAACGAGTCGTACATGTACAACTTCCCATTTTCGCTCTTTATTCGATTCCAAGTCGATACACAGGGCTTGTAAATTTTACTATTTTTAATTGTAATTGTACGACTTCTTCCATGGAAAATATTCCTGCACCCGGTTTCTTACAGGTCTAGGATCTAGAAATCTGTTATCTAAACACCGCACGGTACCGTACCTCGAAACCCTTTTTACCGGGCTAAACAACATCGGGTGCCACCGTGAGGGACGATAGGCAAACCCTACAAGCGACATGCAATATGCAACACATGAGTGCGATCAGCCACCCATGTACATGTTATTTACAATTACATTACAAACTAAGATAATATTATGAACTTTTTCATTCATAGCTTACGGATTTCTGTCAACATGCTCAGCTTACGCATTTTTCAATACGCCAGTATGAAGAAAAACGTTCATAATAACGACTAGAAGTTTGCTCTACATACTAACAACGACAACATACCTGGTCCGTATCCGAGGGCGACGCGCGGCCTTTGGGTGCGGCTGCAGCGGTGTGAAGCTCTGTCGAGGGCTGCGTCCAGACTGTCCGCCCGAGCCCTCTAACGGTTCAGCCGGCAGGTTCAGGTTGGGCAGGTGCATAAGCAGGTTCTGGCCTAGGCGGCCGCGCGCCCTCGGGAGTCCCGAGCCCCTGCCGAAGTCGTGTTCGTGCCCTGACCTGGACCCGAAAGGGCGAGGCCGGCGGATGGACCCCGACCCCGTACCTGGGTCAATCCAGGAGCTGGCGACGCTCACCTCACCTGACCGATACCTGACCCCACGCCCAGAAGGCTCCGTATGGACACTTTTGTGTGCCTTCCGGCCAGATTGCGCGCAGGTCTGGGTATTGTGTCCGATACTTCACTATAAATTCAAGCATACACCGATTTTTCTGTTTCTCTTGATTGTTTCCTTTTTCCTCTCTTATTTATTTTTCTTGATTTTTTTCTTGATTTTTTCGCTAATTTTTTTTCTTGGTATTTTACTTGAATTTTTCTTGATTTCTTTTGATTTTTTGAGTGAGGGATACCTTTGTGCGGCCGACTGCAAGACAGGCGGGCGCACACGCGGGCGGATAACCAAAACACAAAACACGCAGAGGAGAGGGATAGGCATAGTATTTTGTTCCTCCACAAATTGAAATCGTGCCGCGTCAGATCGGCGCGGCGGCCCCTCCGCTACCCTCCGCCTGCGGCTCGCGGCTCGCGGCCCGCGCCCTCGGGTCCGGCGTCGCCGCCGCCGCGGTCCCTGCCGTACCGCAAGGAGACGTCGTGATCCCGCATGCCGCGTACGCAGCACATAGTAACGGAGACGGAACAGATTTTGACCCACATTTTATAAAGCTGGGCAGCGGTCGCCGCCGCACCGCAACTTAATCCTAGTTAGCTCGGCAGAGGAAGGGGGAGGGGGCGACGCGTTGCCAAGACTCAGCTCGGCAGTCTTTTTATCTATCCGGCCTACCAAGTCCGTTGAACCTCTCTGTGCTGGCGCGGCTAAACAGTCAATCACAACCCTAGAGGGAACGGTATCCGAGCGGCCCTTTGGCGACAATGTGTGCCCGCACGTGCAGCACGTAGTGTCCAAGGTCCTACAGTAGGTTGTGTCACTTGGGGTATCGTGCTCTCATTGGTTGACTGATCGTGACGTCAGCGTCAGTTCGCTCGCGCCAAATTTGAAAATACCTGTCAACTCAATTTTATTTTAACAGTAATTAACCGAACGGACTATAAAAATATACCATCGGTGTGGCATAAACAAGGTGTGGGTAAACTTTGAATGATGAATTTCAACCGGATCGTTTGTTTGCGTACTGATATGTAACGGATAAGAGTCAACCTAACCTCTCATCCAATATGGCCGCCCTTCTGGCACCGGCGGCCGGCAGATTCTGACAGATGTCATCCGTTTCATATCTCACTACAGAACGACCATCCAAGCCCAAACGTGGTGCAATATCTAAGTAGGGGACAAAATAATGATATTCTCGACATTATTTTTCCTGAAAATGAATATTGTGAGTGAAATTGTGTGAACACTCGATCAGCTATTTGAACTACGGCGCGAGAGTACTGACGGTGACGTCACGATCCGTCAACCAATCAGAGCACGATACCCCAAGTGACACAACCTACTGTAGGACCTTGCGTAGTGTCAGCTTGAAGAATGTCCCTGTGGCGGTAGAGGAGAACGCCCGTCTGTCGCACACGTACACCACACCCATCGCCCGCCTCTCTATCCCTCCCTCTCTCTCGCACACGAGCACGCAAATGCGACTCGCGCGGAGTTCACCTGGAAAACGGTACTACTACCCGATTGTGAGTCGCCGGCGAGGGGTGGATAACTCCTGAATTGGGTGTACAAATTTCAAGAATTGAATTTGAATTAGGTTGAATTGAATTTGAATTAGACTGAGTTGGAATGAATTGGTTTGAATTTTTGCGATTTTATGTTAATGAATTAGCGTGAATTAGCGTGAATTGGCTTGAATTGACTTGAATTGAATATAAATTGTCTTGAATTGGACTGAATTAATTGAATTAGTTTTGAATTCGTTTGAATTAAATTGAATTGGCCTGAATTAGTTTGAATTGGTCAGAATTAGGGGTGTACACTTGGCCGGGGAGTTATCCACCCCTCGGTCGCCGGCCTTAGGTTAGGCAGTAGGGATCCGCTGACGGCGGCGCAGAGGCGCGGACTTGCGAAAGGACCGCTTCGGCTTCATTGCTTCGGTGCACGTGGAAATCGAGAAAGTAAAAATCTTGGAAGTGTGAGGCTAAGTTTGGAAGCGGGCAACAACCCCACACCGATGTGCCCGGCAGAACAAACAGCGGCTAACAGCTCGGTGACTTTGGGGCCTAAGTGAAAAGCGAGGAGTGTCATATCGGGGTGGGGCGGGTGAGGCGGGGCGAGGCGAGGCGGGGCGGGGCGGGGCGAGGCGGGGCGGGGTGGGGCCGTTCGGGGCTCCAAGCGCGGCGCGGTGGGATCAGTGACACCGACATGACGTCAGACTGTGTGTGTGTGCCTTTCCCATACGCCCACCACAAGACACCACACGGCGCACCGTTGTTCCTTTTGCCTCAAAAAAGTTTGCTTTCCCTGTCAACCGTGGCAGGTGAGGTAAGCTGAAGGTGAGCCATGTGAGCTATGCAGCCGCCATGGCATCACCAAAGCGTCATCACAGCAGGACCCACTTCAGTCAAGGCTCCCAACTCCCATTCATGTGTGCAAATTGCTGAGGAAACTAGAGAGTTGGTAATTTTCATTATGTTATGGTTATGGTGTTTTTTACGATACTTCAGTGCATTGAGTGGCGGTCAGTAACAGTCGCATTTTGTTAGAAGACTGTTGAATGAAGAACAATCAAGACAAAGTAGCTCCATTCAAATAGAGTTAATGTGAATAAAAGACAAGTACACCTAGTGACCTGTGCAACAAACAACATTCTGGAAGTGGCACTTGTTTTCACTAAATTATAAACTTTGCAATTTTTTCAAACGTATAATGTTTAATTTCTAAATCACATATCAAAATGTAGTTAGAGGTTTGAACGGGTTAATTGTTCTATAGATTCTGCATTTCAAATGTGTATTCAGATCAAGTTCTGCATAATCACTATCCAAATTTAGTTAGAGATTTGAACGGGTAAAATGATCTGGGAACATTGCATTCCAAATATATATATTCAGCTCAAGTTCCACCAAACCAATATCGTCGATTCATAAAACTTTCCAAAGAAAACATGGGCGAACATAGGGCGAACCACATATCAAGACGACAAAAGCTATCTTTGCACATCATTTTTCACTGTGCTCTAGGGTACTTGAGTTTTCCATCTTTCATTCATTCAATTACAAAAGCCACTTTCGTTCACTTTCATTCAATTGTTGTACTTGACTTACCGACCGGATGACTTCATCCTCGAGGCACCCGAGCACAGCCACAGCAGCACCTTGCAGCAGACAGCCGTCGCACTTGTTGATCATGATGGATCCGTTTGGCGTCCTCTTGGAGGTTAGAACCAGGGTTAAAGTTTCGAGCAACTGCAACTGTCTCTGTCTCTATCGCACCGCAGTCCCTTTAATCGGAAGTGAGATAAATATAACGGACTTACGGGGTCGAGTGGAGGTTAGAGAACGTTCACAACGCCACTCGTCACACGTCACATTCATTCGAAATCACTCGAACGCGCACGAACGTCACAAATATGTCACACACCTCGTGATGTAAACCACGCAAAGCGACACAATGAAAATTGCAAAACACGAACACGAGAAACGGTAAATCAACCAAATCGCGATGTATGCGGTGTGGAACAGAGTTGAGTTGACAGCTGACGCGAGACCGAGCCCAGGGGCGGACTGACGGACGGCGGGTGGCGGGTGGCGGCCACGGCGGCGGGGTCGTTTCGAAGGGATCCCCAAGGCCGCCAGGACGCCGCCGCCGCCGCCGTGCTGCTGCGCCGCTGTCGGCTTTGGCGGCGGCCTTCTCCTTCTCCACGGCGCCGATCTCAAATAATCTGGACGAGAAAAGCTTTTGGTAATGAGTCGTTAGCGGCGCGACGCGGCGGCAGCTGATTGGCTGCGTCAATCACGGGGTTACAATGGGCTCACTCACACACACACGCACACACACACACACACACACACACACACACAGAGCGTGCGCGTCACGCTGCGCGCTGTTACGTTGTGTAACGTAAGCCTTCAAAGAGCCCCGAATGTGTTTTTAGATCGGCAGGATAAAAGCTGTGAAGTAAATAATTTGTGCGTCTTCCGAGAAGAGGTGGTGGTGGCGGTCGCTGCCGGCGGCGGCGCGGGGATGTGTCAGGAGAGGGGGGAAGACACGGGGGGGAAGGACGAAGCTCGCCCCTCGGCTGACCTTTTGCAGGGCGGCCGGGGCCGGCCCGCCTGGCGGACTACAAGTCCAGGACCTGGACCTGGACCTGGAGGGGTCCACAGGGAGTCCGGGCCGGAGGGTCCTGGCCGCCAGGCCTCCTCCGCTTCGCCCGGGCGGCGCGGCCCACGCAATTCTGCGCTTCATTGCCCGCCCAAGGACGCACCGGCGGCACCCCACCTCGGCGCTCTGCTGACTCTCTCGCTCATTCCGTCCCGACCGAAAGGGAAGGGTTCGGAGAGAGGGCGTGGACAGGAGGGGGGAGGGGGGAGGGGGGGGGCTTTTCGGCGGCTGTTCATAACTCTCCGGGAAGAATAAAGAAGATACGGCCGATATGTTGCTCTGCCCGGCTGCTGCCCCTCTCCCCGTCCGTGAAGGCCATACGATGGAGGTGAACCCGGAGCGCGCACGTCGGGCCCGACACCGCACCGGGCGTCTCTCTCTGCATATCGTGACATTTCTACCCCGCGAGCACCCACGCGACGCGCGCGCCCGGCGGAGAAAAAGTCAAGACGACGACGAATTGGGCTCGTCAGTAAAGTAAAAGAGCAGCGACTCCACGACAAGTTCGCGAGCACACACACACACACAGCCAGGCCCAGGCTCTGCGAGTCCCCTCGCGCGCGGCTCCAGCGGATGTCCCCTCCCCCCTCCCCCTTATCCTCCCCCCCGGAGACATCGACCCCGGCGGCGGGCCTCTTGGACGACGGGGCGGACCCGGCCCATGCGCGCGAGGCAAGGCGCCCAGCGGCAGGGAAGCGGCGCCAACTTCGCCATCTAGCTATTTGCATATTAGTCTTCATTACCGCGGCATTCCTTATTCCTCCCCGCCTCCGGGGGCTTCTTCTCTGGGCCGGGCCCTGGGGGGGGGGGGGAGGTGCCGAAACCACGTGACCGGGGAAGGAGCAGCACGCATGAGGGGGGACGACGTCCCGTGCCAGCCGCGTGCTCTCAGCAAGCCCTTTACAGAAAACAAAACGAACAAAACATCACGAAAGAACGCCAATACAGACAGACGGACAGACAGACAGACACGACGTGGTTTCTGCGCGGCCCCCTCCGCCGGCTCATCCACTCCCGGCCGCCTTCATGTGCGTTTTATTGCAGCTTATTCCATTTCGGAGCGCGAGCCTTGTCCCCGCGGATAAGGCTGGCCGCCGCCCCCTCCACCACCGCCAGGACGACGACGACGATGGGCTTGACCTGGCGGGAATTCCACGTGCGGGGGCGGTTGCGGGACGGGCTGTGGGGGAGGAGGGACTGGGAGTGGGGGTATAAGAGCGTTCCACGACGCATGCAAAATGGGACCTGAAGAAGCACAAACTGGCCCCGCCGCTCTAAGACAACGGTGACGTCCTGGCGCGACGTCAGTCACGGCGCTGGCCAATGCGCGCTTGCAGCCTTGCAGGAGGAATCGTACGGATTCGGCCGGGCGCCGCGGTGTTGTTGTTCCTCTCGTGGTTCCGGTTTGGACACAAACAGAACACACTCGCTCCTTCCTTTCCCCCTCCTCCTTGCCCCGGGGCGGCCTCATCCTCCTCGATCGCCTCCGGGGCCGCCTTCCTCCTGCGCCGGAGGCCTCCGGGTCAGCTCCGGGGCGGCCGGGTCGCCGCCGGCTAGCCTCCGGCAGACGGGCGGGTGATGTCATTCCCCGGCGCTGGAGCTGGCGCTGCTACCCGTCCGATGATGTCACTTGCCTCACAAAAATACGATACGGCCTTCATTAATTACAACGAGCCGAGAGGCGGGGCGGGGCGGGGCG